AAAACTTTGGCATACAAATATTTGGTCAGTACGTGCCAGGACACGAGTATACAATGTACTGCACTGACTTATGTGAGAGGAGGCTGTTAAAAGCACAATCCTCTTCTTATGATGTGGCTGTCTCCTGACAGTTTCCTCATGTAGTAACTGAACCCATCATTTTAGAAGATGTAATATATTCAAATCTTGGTTTGCTCTAAAGCCCACAGCCACAAATAGTACATGGACAAATAAACAGTAATGTTTACAGCACAGAAAGACTGCTTGTGAAGATGGGCTGTTTGAGTTACAGATCCAGGCATATGTGTTCTGTGGACCACTGGGATGTTACCCTGAAAATGAGAATGTGAGTCAACTTGGTGGTCCTCTCTGAATGCTCAACAGGAGTGACACTGCTATTCTGTTTTGTATTCCTGTGTTTAACAGAACCATATAATAATTTGGGTTGGAAGAAACTTTCAAAGGTCTTTTAGTCCAACAATCCTGCAAGGATCAGGGAGATTTTCAAGTAGGTCAGATTGCTCAGAGCCCCATCCAACCTGACCTTGAATGTTCCCAGAGATGGGGCATTCATCACCTCTCTGGGCCACCTGGGCCAGTGTCTCACTATGCTCATTATAAAAAGCTTATTTCTTATACCTGGTCGAAATCTACCCTCTTTTATTTTAAAACTGCCAGCCCTTCTCTTGTTGCTACACACTTTGCTAAAAAGTTTGTCTTTCTTGTTAGCCCCCCTTACTGAAAGGCCACAATCAGGTTTCCCCAAAGCCTTCTTTTCTCCAGAATGAGCAAACCAAGTGTTCTTAGCCTGTCCCCATATGGAGAGGTGTTCCATGCCTCTGAACTTTAAAAGGGGTAGTGATGGTATTCTTTGGGTTCCCTTGTAGAAGATCTGTCCTTTCCTTACCCTGGAGCTAAAGTTAGTGACATTCACAAATTTCTCAGTTGCTCTCTACCAATATTATTTGTTTTAGAGACAAAACGAACTGTAGTCAATGAATATCAATACAAAATTGTTAGCAGAGAATTTTTTTAGTAGTAGCGCTTTTAGATTTATAACTGCACCAAAAATACTTGTGTCACAAACAATGAGATGAGTATATGTTTTTCACAGGGCACTGCAGGAGTCCCTGGTTTGACAGGGGCTGCAAGCACCAGTTATTCCTGCTTTGCTGTGTATGATGCCTCCTGTCTGCACCCCAAGGTGCACCATTTTTAACAGCTAGAAATGCTGCCCAGGTTCTAATTGAAAAACTGAAATGTCAGCCTCAAAATGAGAAGTGTCAGCCTCTTTTCAGAAGTTTCTAGTTACAGGCTCAAGTAGCTGCCTACTAAGATTTCTAAGAATGTTTCTGTGCTTAACCTCTATTACTTTCAGCTGTTAAGAATCTTTTTAAAGTCTGTTTCTTTGAGAACCTTTTGAAGTTAAGTATGGGTAAATCTGAAGGAATGGTGGGAGTGTGAATTGGGACAAAATTCTAATTTGAAACCTGGATTCTTAAACCTTTTCTGAGATATTTCTATATTGCATTTGCCCTGCCCTTTCAGTTGATGTAATATGAGATAAGCCTGTATAATGCAAAATATGGAGAATGTTTTATTCATTTTTTCTGCAAGTGCTAAAAAGGAAAGAAAAAAACACCCCAGAAAAAGAAAATAAGTAAAGCCTTTAAAAATTGTATTTATAGTATTGGTTTCAAAGCCTTGCAGAAAGCATCTCATGCAGGTTGTCTAAATACTTGCATCAAGTATTTCAGTAGTCTTTCAGTAAGAATTTAATGTGAAATTATGCTGTAATTATACATGCACACATCTTTGAATTCTACATTTAGAGATAAACTTGAATTTAAATGGATCTTAGAGGAGCAGCTGAGATTTTGCTGAACAAGAAGAGTCCTCTAGTGTAAAGGAATATCTTTTGTGTTCCTTCCTGCCTTCTAAATAGTGGTGGAGAGGACACTGTTGGGCTGCTACGGTATTTGGGCTTTGTCTGCTGCCATCATCATATTTACTAATACAGATTTGTATCCATAATTTAGTTGAAGATCTATTTGCCAGTGCATAGCTGAATACTTCTAGCTCATTTGGCAGTATGTGTTGGCATAACAGTCATCATGGAACCAAAATGTATGTTTGTATTTGGATCTTGTGGCAGATGTGTAATACAACAGAGCTGCTGCTTTGGCATGGGCACTTTCCTGGCTCTGCCCCCATTTGAAGTGTTCCCTGCTTATGATCTGTGATTGTGGCTCATATTGATGTTTAACTGCCTTTTCAGATTGAAAATAGCATTATTCTCTGTTCTTTTATTTTTGTTTTTTTTTTTGTTGTTGTTCTTGTAATGTTTCAAAGAGAGCACAGCATTGTACAAACACAGTGGAAACAAAACTTTATAATACACTTTTTCTCAACTCCTATATGGATTCCTAAAACAATTTGTAACCCATCTATCTCATTTGGTAGCTGAAAAGCCAGGGTTTGCAGTCAAGTCATTAGAAAGTGCAGGTGACTGAATTACGGTGCAGGCTCAAGTACATTTAAATTATTCTGTGTGAGTAAGTATGTATGTAGGGGACAAAAAAGATAAAGAGAAGAGGAAATACTTTTTTTTGGTGGAACTTGGGGCAAAAGAGCAAGTTTTGTGGAGTGAACTTAAGGTGTATATGTAGTTTGCCCTCAAAACAGGGTTTAACTAGTCTTTTTAGGTAAGTTAATTTGCCAAATAAAATTTCTGCTATCAAAGAAGCAGCACTCTCTGTTCATTTTGCATTTACAGGGTATTTTTTTTTAAAGAAATTTCAACTAGGCTCCTTAATTTCTGCCTTTCTGTTAATATTAAAGTTACAGCATCAAATTGGAATGCTATGTCTCATTTTTAGCTGTCTTTCTGGAGGCAGAGCAGGATGAAGACAGGAGAAAGTCTGAAGACGGAAAGGGCTGGAAGGAAGGAGAAGCAGCAGTAGCTTAACTGATTGTTTGCCTTTGCCTTACACAAATGTGGCCATTCAAACACCACACATTAAACAAACACACCAAAAATTGATAAAATAAAACTTGATAATGGGATATTGAACTGTCTTTGTAAGTTAAATTCTGGCTGTATTTAATTAAGTAAAAATGATGTTTCAACCGTGGTACTTTGCTTTATTATTAAATGAAGGGAAAATGTAGGTGAAATCAAAATGTTGCTGCCTTACTTACTGGAGCTTTTATTTCCCCTTGTCCATATGTGTATTGTGAGAACACAAAGCATAACAAAATAGCTTTTGCATTTAGTTCTGAATGAGGTCCATGATCACTCTTCTTTCTGTGAAAGCAAGCTTCAAAGCCTGTCTGGCTGCCCAAAGACTTTGCATTTCTGCACATGTGATGGATGGGTTCATTTTTCTAATAAAGCATGGCTGTTGTTGGAGGTCATGGTCACAGGAGAGACACAATCCATCTTTAAGGAGGAGCAGTTCTATAGAGGCCTTGAATGCCAAGACAGAGATGGAACATTTCATTTTTATTTGATGTAGAGGGCCAGTGCAGAGACACTATCTTGTTTTAATTTTTTTTTTTTAATTACTAAGAAGGTGGGAGCTGTATCCGGTACAAACATGAACCATTTCAGAGATTTTGGCTTAGGTCCCAAGTGTAATGAATCTGAAGGCTGCAAATGTGTGTGTTTCTATGGCCAGATCGCTGATGAGGTAGGGAAATCAAACCTCTGGCCATGCACAGATGGTGTTAGACTTGCCTGTCTGAGCATCCATCCTTAGGAACTGAGGTCTCACAGGCTGCATGCTAAGTAGCAGACAGTGCCTGTAATCAAGGGAAACATTATGGCCTAGGGAAATTGTTCAGAGCAATTCCCATCAATACACATAGTAAATGTGTATTTTAAGTACCTGTGAGAAGTAGGAACTCTTGTTAGGGGAGAATCTGAAGGTGGATCTTCTCATTGGCCAGGCAAATTCTGTTACATGTATGCCCTTCTTTTTGTTTTCTGGACTACTTGTAGATGTTTGACATTGGTTGTGATAAGGGTTACTGAGCCCTTTTCATTTAGATCAAAAAGCAGCACATTAGGAGTAACAACTTTTCTTCACTGAATTAGTTGTAGTTGGACTAGCGTACGAGGGATGTAGAATTACACACGTTACCAGTCTATTTATGGATCTGTTTTGGTTTTTAAGCTCTAAAAATGAGATTGTTCTCTCATGGTGAATTTATTTGATATTTTAATTATATTGCCTAAAGACTATGTCTGAATACTGCATATGTGGCTGTTTGAGAAGAAGGTAGAATACTTTCTCTAAGTGTGAAGAATGCTAATTATCTTTTCCCCCTTAGCTTCTGCTCTTAGACCTGTGGGAGACAGACATTATTTAGCAAAGGGAGGAATGAACATCTCTTCTTCCGGGCTCAGAAGAAGTTAAAACATTAAATGTGTCTGCTGTGGTTCATTGACATGTCTGTTCTTAGATTTGATCTTTCAATAAGCATCTCTGAAAGGTGGCAGGAAACACCAGCACTGTCAGTACAGGATCAAAACTAGGAAAGAGCTGTGTGTTCACCAGAAAATGGGAAATTCAACTCATGCTTAGACTTTAAAAAACCAGGATATATTGTATACCTATTCACTGAACTCAACATTCAGAAGCATAATATGTTAGAGTCCCAATTTTATCTTTCCTGTGCTTGTTTCATTTATTTATACTAACATTTTTAAACTTAACAGGTATGGATTTAAGTATCTAAGGTAATGCTAGTGCCGGGCTATAGTTAAAAGTGTGTTTTCCTTCAGAATTTAATAATTTGGCAGTTGATCTGTTTCTTTTCAGCCTGATTCTTGTGCTGTGATCATCATCCTGATATTGGAATAAATGGCACATAAACTGTTTTAGAGGAGAGGAGGGTTTGTGTGTACCAATATTCAGTTTATTTGAGGTTAAGATTTCTTAAAAAATATATTCTTAAAAGCAAACATTTTTGCTATATTTTTATTTGTCTTTCAGGTTGATCCAGCTTTGAAAGAAAAATTAAAACAGAACACTGTGACACTGGAATCTGAATATGAGGTAAAATGAATTTGTTGCCTGGGGCCCATAACCTTGGCTACCCTTGATTACCCTGGCCACTGGTGGGTCGTATCTGTCCCTAACTAAAATTAGATCAACCATCTGCCTTTGACTTGCTGATGTCCAATAAAAACAAGGTTTTATGTAAAGAAAGGTTTTTGAACACGTAGTGCTTCTTTCTGAACAGAGCTTTACTTAGATTTCCAGGCGACAAGTACAGTGGTACAAATAAATTCACTATTTCTGTGGTTAACCTAGTTTATAAATGTAGAGCTGATGTTTGCTTTAGAGGGAGTGTATGTGAATGAAAGTCAGCACTTCTACTGCATGAGTTTGGATGATCTTTAGACCAAATTACAGAACAATGTGCATGATGTACTTCATGTTATTTCTTGCTTCTGAAATTTACATGTATCTTTGAAACAGCTGTCATTCCTTTTACATCGTTTCAGAAAAATCTATAGAAAAATAGTTCGCTCTTACCTCAACACTGCATTTTCTTCAAATATTACTGAATTCTAAAATGTCTGTTTTGACCAGTTCAGTATCCAGAGTCTCATAAACTTTCAGGCCTACAAAAAGCCATGTTAGAAAAACTGGAAAAAGCCTCCCTGTGACCAGAAACAAAGGATAAAGCTATTTAAGTTTATCCTTGATGTTTTAAAATTAATTTAATCAAATGTCCAACTAACACTTCATCTATCTCTGTGGCCTTTATGCTGAAAACAGATTTTTGTTTTCTTCCCATACCACATTTCCCATTCTCTCACAAGCCTTTGAAGATCTCGATTGCACCCATTGCTCTCATACTTAGGTGTCCAAATGGCAGTACATAATCTGGATCATAAAATTTTACTATTTTATTACTCTTTTGTCATTTGTCTGAAATAAAAATAAAACCTACTTTTTGTACTTTCACAGGTGGTGTAATTTCACAAAATATTTGCTAATTTTTACCATTATTGCAAATACCTTTGGGCTCTCTCCCGCTATAAAGAATTGTGATTTCTGGTGCAGGGAATAACAAGATGGAAAGTTCCAATGGAGACTTAAAATTTACAAATCCATTAAGTTCTGAGTGCTTCTGGGATTACTGTCTCTATTGTAAGGCTGCTCTGATTTATTTATGTAGAGGAAAAAATAAAAAGAACCACAAGCAGTAAAAAGAATGACATCTCAAACTCAATATCTAACCTCAAAATCAACAGATCTGTATTCTGATATACCATACTCTTTCTTCAGAAGATCAGTAAATAGGTTAAGGATAATATTTAAATAGCCATAATGCCATTTCCTTTATGGATAAATCAATGCTAATAAAATACATCTGGCATAACAATATATTACAAACCTTCTTAGGTAATGAGACTCTGTTCTGATGGACAGAAATGACAGAAGCAATCTTATTTTTTCTTAATCTAAACTGTAGAGAGTTCCTAGACTGAAATTCTTCCAGAATTGTGCTTGGGTGTTATAGAAGGTAGATCAGTTCAACAAAACAAATGGTTTTGCTTAATGAAAATAGATTTGGATTATTGTTTTGAAATCTAATATCAATATATACTTTATTAGGGGCACCAACTTGCAAGCACACTTTAATTTTTTGCTTCAGTGAAACTACCAGCAGTCATGCACATAGTTTGCAGGCTCCACACTAAGTGTGTGACAATTTTAAGTCACTGTTGTCTCTGTATTTTGGTGGATAAAAACTAACCATTCACCCAGTTACAGCTGACATTTAGGAGAGTAGTTTTCTGAGGACCCCATCTTTTCCAGACTAGAGGGGTTTGGGTGGATGTTTTTCTCCTTTCTTTATTTTTTGACTTGTCCAAAATACAGCTCTTAGGAACACCTAATTCAATATATAGGTCACATTGAAGGATTACACTGGTGGCTGTTACTAAATATGGTGTGATAAGAGATCAAGGGCAGTTAAAAAAAAAAAAAAGTTGCTGTTTTGATATGTAAAGCCTTATTTTACAATATTATTAGCATTATATCTGCAGCTGTTACAGAGGATACCATGCCAGCTCTTTTGAAGTGTGGTTGACTGATAAATGCAAATGTCCTTTGGCCCTCCCCAAGACTTTTAAAAATATCTTACTGTCCTTACAGAAATGTACATATTGAATTCATATTTCTTCTATAAGCATACATATATGCCCTTATGGGCATATTGCAAAAAGTAAAGACATTTCCAATATTTCAAACATGTTGAAGTCTGCATTTTGTCTCTGATGTGGTGGTCATGGCAATGTAAAAAGATATAATCACAAACCTAATTTATTGTGACAAAATTAACATGAAGACATTTTCTTACCTTCTCATTTACTAAATTATATATTCTCAAACGATAAAAGGTTTATTTCATACAGGAATCTTTCTGGTCAGGATACTATTTTAAGGAAGGAAGAATTTGCATGTGTAATTCATACTGCATTTATTGTATCTCAGATCTATTAATAATGGCATTTATCTTGTGTCTTGGGACATGCCAGAGGAGCAAGCTACCTTTGCATACGCACTTCATTGTTTATACATTCCTCTCTCACACTTTTGTGTCCTCATATGACCAATTAGTCCCTGCTGCTCCCCTTTGCTTAATAAATCACAGCTCTGTCCACTAGTGATGCTGGTACTAATGTGAATGCAGTTCTGCTGCTGAGCTGGGCATAGTAGAACACACTGTAAAAAATGCTGAGTGTTTGACCTGTGACAAAAGCCTGAGTATTTTATTTGAAAGGACAAAAATTTGTTTGAAAAAGGGAGATTAAAAAACCTGATTAATGTGATGAGTGAAAACCATTCTTGTGGTTATTTTAACAGTCATAGTACATTCCTCTTCATGTGTTTCATGCAATCTCAAAATAGCATTCCTAATTCTAGAACTTGGTTTCTGTACTTCTGTGAAATTAATGGTCTAATAAACACTAAAAAAATCTGGCCCTAGTTACATCAGACCTCAAAATATATAATTGTTGTTAAGGGTTTTTCTAGCAAAGAAAAGCTTTATGAATTTACTAACATTCTGCCGTGGAAAAAATAATTTAAGTTTGAATCAAATATGTGATATTCAGTGGGAATCAATAGCAATTGAAAGTAGAGGAAAAAATATTCCAATAAATAAAAGCGTGAAGGATTGCTATGGAAACAGTAAATGAGTTAGTCACAAAGCAGGGAAGACTGCTAAAATATGCGAAGGGCATCAGAGCTGTCTGATAAGTAATCTGACAAGGATGGGGTAAGAGGATGGTATTGCAACAAACCAAGAATAAAATAATGAGGATGTAAAATAATGAGTAGCCATAATGGCAAAGTAGCAACTTTCAAAAGCATATCTGTATTTTTTTAAAGAAAAAAAGTCCTTTGTATTCAAATCAGATGTGCTTCCAAATCCCTTAATAATAAAACAAGATGTTAAGTACCTACTAGACTGTGATGGTTTATAGCTATGTTCTAAGAATGGGCTTGGAATACTTCAGTGGCTGCTGGAAATTTCAGTCTGGGATGATGGTTCTCTGGGAATCATCACTGGACAGGAAGGTGATACTATTAAAAGAGTTCTGGAAAATTTGGGACATACAGGCACTATTGAGTACTTTTTCAGTGATGTGAAAGAAATTGTGAAATCATTAGTAATGTGCAAGTGATATGAAAATAGTAAATAATATTACAATAGTAAAACTGTGGCAAGGCAGGGACAGAGAGCTGTTCATATTACATGCTAACAAGGGCTCATTAAAAGTGCCAAGTACCTTTTCGAGTAGCTGAAGTTATTTATTTAAAAAACTGAAAATGCAGGCCAGAATGGACTGCATCTGAAAAGCAGAAAATATTTAGGAGTTGGTGAATAAATTCAGCTTGATCTTCTAGTGTGATCTTGTGTCACAAAAGCTAATTCAGTGTGTGAATATGAACAGGAATGGTAGATGTAGGAACAGGTGATTTTACTTTGAGTGTGGCACTTGTGAGGCTGGGACTTAAATTCTGGTTCTCCTTTTGGTATCCAGGTTTTGAACAAGGCTTTAAGAACAGATTGCAGAACAGGCTGACTGTACTAACTAAAAAAAATCCTTAAAAGAAACTTAAATATTTAAATAATATTAAAGGTACTGGGAAGAATGGTATTTTCATAGAAATACTTCCATAGGAAGAAGGTGATAGCAATTGAACATTTTTTATTGCAGAAAATGTAGTAAAATTAGAAGTAAGATCTGTTCTTAATAGCTGGGAATGTAATTTGAACACAAAAGCAAGACAAATTAATCTTCTGTGTTTCAGAATATCAAAACTGTAAAACTTTATAAAGTTTTCCTTCAGCTGGTTGCAAGGATGGCATAATTGACTGCAAATGGTCACACTAGAGAATGCTGCTTTTGTGACTTAAAGAGTATGAATGTTGAGAAGGTTTCATTCCTTATAATTTCATAATTTACAAAAAGTCAACATTAGCTCGGGACAGAAGTGTTTTAGTTGTTTGTCCTGAGAATTACAGCAAAAGACTTGTAATTGCAGTATTGAAATGTATATTGAGGACAGTTCAAAAATTAAAAGTAGGTATATGGAGGTGTTTTGGAAATATAACCTATAAATTTACTGTCTTAAAAGAAGAATTTGAATAGGCTCTTCTGAAAAAGACTCTGTCCACTTACTGCTCAATTTACATAACTTCAGGGATTGTGGTGCCAGCACAATGGATGAAACTTTCTTCAGGGAGTGACAGTGTAGTAACACAGTAATTGCATCCAAGTGTGTGGACATTGAGTGCTCTAGAAAGAAATTCCTTGATGTCAGTCATTGATATCTGCAAGTATCTTGTTTTTGTCATTATCAGTACCAGAGGATTACTGATTTTGTTGCTGTTGAAGAATTAACAGATTAGTGTAATGAACTGATTTGTTTCAATGTCTCTGAAGATATTGGTGGCTAAATGCCTTGAGCTGCTTGAGAGCTGACAGAGATGTTGGGAAAATATCCCTCCTTGATGACTGTTAGGACAA